GGGAAGTTGTGAATGTTTCACAGAGCTTGCTGAACCATGAGAGGTAGCAATGCCATCAGCTACACATAATGGCTATGTTTTATATTGTCAGCCACAGCCTATGGTAACACATGGCTAGCCACTATGTTGGTTCAGGGATAGAGGGTGGAGCCATAGTTTTACCACCATCTTTATTTAGGGCTGCCAGCTATGTTCAGTTACATGTGGCTAGCCGCCATGTTGGATCAGAGATAAAGAGCGTGGAGCCATGGTTTTGCTGCCATCTTAGTTTAGGGTTGCCAGGTGTGTTCAGTCCTCTGATTAGTGCTAAGTGCAACTTTTGTGCTTTAAGCTTTTTGCTGTTCAGTTTTAATGCAATGTGGTAGGATCAACAAGATTTGCTAGCCCCTTTAGGAACTGTGTCTGATTAAAAGTTTTGCTTTGATTTTAGTTCAGAAAGAGCAGACTTCAAGTTATGCTAGGGACTGCAGTTGAGTACAAGATTGAGCTTTACCTAGTCTCTTTGTTTAGTATTTTTAAGGCTAAGCCTAGCATGGATAACTATGAAGTTTGCCTATGTAGATCTACTTGAAATATAGTCCTAAAACATGCATCTAAGGAATATGCCAGAATTAGAGATTATAGCATTCTGTTTTATAAGATGCAGTTTAGAGCAGATGATAAAGATAGACAAAGAGTAACTCAGATATGGTGGCCCTCAAGCTTGTCAGAGATCTGATGAATATGGTATTTTGACATGTGTTAGCTTATTGTGACAGAGAGTCCCCAAATCCTGACAGTAGTTCCCTAAGGTCTCTGAGAAGATTTGGGCACAACAAGAGATGACTGAGACTCTGGATTGTGGTATGCTAACCACTGGGCAATACTGTCCCCAACTCATCCACTGCTAGGGCCCAGGCTAAACTGTGGACAAAGCTGTGGACACCTGGAGATTCATTGTTCCACATTGCGGGAGGTGAGGTCAATCTCCTTTTTCCACAGAAGCAGTTTCTCATCTTCTGTGCCTGATGCCTGGACCGCCTCTGCTCAGGATACCATGAGACCACAGGAACGAGGGACACTGCCTAGGTGATGGACTAGCTAGTCATCTCTGTCATTTTGATTGGTACATGGATTGGTATATTTATTTATCTTATAATTTATCCTTCTCAGGTCTCTGATCACATTGAAAGCTATGCTAAGCTTATGGTAACGTTGCAGCTAAAGAGCAGACAATTAGATCCACTGTTAGCTCACTGGTCAGTTCATTAGCTAGTTAGAACTACTAGGTACTAGATCTTTTATTAGAAAGGCAAACAGGTTTGCCTTGCTCATAGGCTTCTTGTTAGTTGACTGTGTCTTATGGTAAATAGCTGCATAGAAAGATGTGGAGTTGATGTAGGGTCTGAGGCTATAGGAGAATTTAGAGAATGTTGTTTGATGGTCTGGAAAAATGTTTCAGGGTTGATAAATACAAGGAAGATTAGAGAGTCTAAGTAGGTGTTTTAAGGTATATGAATATGAGTTGTAATGATATAAAAATTATTTAAGGTATATTGAAAATGGGAGATATTTTAGATTTCTCCCCCCTCTTTGCTACTGTTGTGTTTATGTTGTTATAAGATTTTAGAAGTTCAGAGTTTTGACATTGATCAATAGAGTTCTGATAACTTGATGGAGCACTGACTGCTTATTATTTAGTCACAAGCTTGAGATTTTAATTTCCTTTGATTGTCTTCTGGAGATAGACTTAAAGGTGTTTCTCATTATGCTAAAAGTATCTGTTTAATTTGTATATCTGACCCCAAAGCCATAGCTTTTACTATGGTATTCTTAATATTTGCCATTTCTGAGGCAGACTTTGACACAGGACTAGCTTAAACATATTCCTTCTTGTTGCTTTGTTAAAAGTCCAAGCATCCAGGGTTTAGCACTAAAGCCATTAATGTATTTCTGTATACATTATATAACTTTCCAGTGTGACATGGAGATGGAGGCTAAAAGTAGATGCTGAGTGTACAAAAAGTGGCCAAGCTCCATTGGTGGCTGATTACCAACAGCTGTGCCCACAGAAAAAGTGTTAAGAGTTTCAGACCATGGACACACTTAAATTGTTTATAAAGGTTACAAAACAGCTAAGAAGAACTGATGCTCATTCCATTGGATGTAGTTTTACCTGTTACTCACAGAATGTTGTTTATATTAGATTTCCTGATATGTTACTTTTCTGAGTTTTTTAATATATTTCCTTTTATAAACTAAAAATTCATGTGAGCTTCAGGAAACCAAAAAGTCATGAGATCTGGCATAGCTCAAACGGACCCCAGATGAGTTTTTCCTCTGGTCTTGGGATTCCTCACTTTTCCCATTTAATGGACAAATTTTAACTTCTGTTTCTAGTCTGAATTTGTCTCAGTAGATTTTCACCTGTTTGACTCTATTCCGGGATCAGCTATGGACTGCAAGCTGAAATCTGGACTTGCTGGAAGCCGACATGATTGTTCCCTGCCTTTTCAGGTGGATCAACTAACCAGACGTTTCTGAGGACTGCCCCATTGCCCAGCCTTTGACTGGCATTTCAGCCTTCCTAGCCCCTGATGCCAACAGTCCTATTGTTAAAACTGAAGCAATTTCAGAAGATGAGACCCTTGGCCCAAAATCCCACCTGGCAGGCTGAAATGCTAAGTCAAAAGGGGCTCCCTGCCATTAGCAGATCTTGGGGATCTGCTTAGCTGGAATAGGAACTAGTATTGCAGCAACTAGACTAAAAGCCTGGAGAGACCCTAGAGAGAAAAGATTCCAGAGGATGGTTTAAATCCTGGTATAATAGTTTTCCTTGGCTTATTACCTCTATATCCACCCTGTAGGGATCCCTACTCATTTTGATTTTTACCTTTGGGCCTTGTATTTTAAATCACTTGGTGGCTCTTATGAAGAAATGTTTGGGAGCAATACAGTAATGGTACTCAGATCCCATTGTGGAAAGGTAAATCTGTAGGATACAAAAGGTCGTATCTGGAAAACCTAATCTTCAAATGATCATGGGAAGGGGGGAATGAGAGACCAAAGGATTAAAAATCAGTGGCTATTATTTTAAAGTTTAAAAGCCTGAACTAAGACCAGCCAAATGGAGATATATCCAGCCACATGGGAAAAGAAACTAGCTTAATGCAGTTATACAGTTGCTAGGAAACTGACCCATATGACCAGGCCAGAACTGTTTGTAGTCTTGGCGCCTAAAGTGGACCAATCATTTCAAGAGTCAATCTCCCTTACCCAATCATGTAACTCCAAAGCATGTAAGCCCCTGCTTGTGGTTTTGCCCCATAAAAACCTTGCTTCCCTAGATCTTGGGGTACATTCCTGTTTCCACAGGAAGTTTGTGTCCCGTGTTCGAATGCATATACAATTTTAAAAAACTTCATGTATTTACAGAGGAGTCTATTCCTGGTGTTTTGGGGTTCGAGAACTGGGCATAACAATATATAAAAATTTACTGTGAATATAATAAAAAATTACCTCTAAAGCAATACTATAAAATACTACCATACAGTTTTTTTTTTCTTGAGGTTTTAAATTAGGATTACTGTTGTCATTTTTCTTTCCAGTACTTACCAGATTTACATTTCCCTTTCTGATAACAGAAAAATCTAATTTCTCTTAGTGCTATCTTTTCCTTTGTTATACACAGGCTTCGTAGAACTGCCAATCTTTCCTTTCTCAGGCTATAGAGGTGGATTAGGATGGTCACAAACTCAAAAGAAACCACTGAGGCTCTTAGGGCCCAGACTGGAAGAGAGTGACACAGAAGGAAGAAGGGGCATATTTACTTCAAAAAGACTTAAACAGGATCTTTTTCCCGTCCTTTACAAAGTCAGAGGACCTGGATATTTCCTTTATTTCAACAGGTTGCTGCTAGTGCATGTTCTTCTAATAGATTCCTTTTGTGTTAAGGCTAGAATTAGTAAGTCTCATGATATACAACCTTGGCAGAATTTGGCACAGGATAGAATTTTTTAAAAAGAAAAGAAACATACAACAAAAAAATATGACAAGGCAAAAAGATAAGCAACCATGAGAAAACATTAACACATATAAGGTATAAGAGCAATATTATATTAGGAACTTCATAGATTGGGGATATAGCTAGTTGGTAGATAGTTTGCCTAGCACACACAAAGCCCTGAGTTTGATTCCCACATAAACTTGCTAGCACTGGGAAGCAGAGGCAGGTCATCCTTCTCTGCCTCAAAACAAACAAAACTGCTGTAAACACATGAAACAATAGAAAAATGAACAATTTATATGTGCAGGTAATCAACAAAGGAAGAAATATCAATCTCCATGTTTAAAAAAAGAAGGCTCTCCTTCATTTATAAAAAAGGGAATATAAACTAAATACCCAGGAGCTAGCCTTTTTTCATGCATGAGACTAAAAGAATGTTGATATTAAAAATGTTTAAAGGATAGCTAGTTCCTAAATAATTGGTCAAATTTAATTCATGCTATCTTCTCAAAGGACATTTTGGTTTAAATTGGAATTGCTTTTAATATTTTTGTTTCTGAGAATTTATCCTATGGAAAAACATATGTTCAAAGGCACATAAATATAAATAATGATTATAATAATAAATATAAATAGTGTCAATATTGACAAGAGAAATGATAAACAATGAAATATCTGTAAGAAAAACACTGCCACAGAAAAGAGCTAGGTGGATCTGTATGCATTAATATACAACAATTTCCAGTACATACATTTAAGTGTCAAAGTCACAAAACACACTTGATATTATTGCTAAATATCTATTAAAAGATACTAAGCTACAGCTATAACAGAAATATATTTATTCTAAAAATAAAGAAAAATATAGAGGAAAAATATACAGCTGGCCTGGAATTCTCAATGCTTCTGCCTCTTAATCCTGACTTCTGGAATTACTTGGGTACCACCAGGTCACCCAAGTCTACTGTTGTTTTGTTTTTTCAAACTAAATAAGAGATAGAGAACATACTCCAACCTTTTGTTCTTGGATTCACTGTCAGTTTTATTCTGTTCAAACTCCTGGCTAAGAGATTGCAGCTTTTCTTGAAGTCTCTTTTCTCGTTCTACACTTCCTTGATAAAATTTCATTTCTTCTTCCATTGCTTTCAGTTTTTCTTGCATAGCTTTAAATTCATGAAGAATTAGATAGCTGACGCCACAGTATTTACAAACTGTTTCTTCAGGAGACATCTAGGAAACAGAACAAATATTTATTGAAACTTTATGTTTTTGTGAGAAATAAAGTTCAACCAAAGTTGTTATGCGATCATACTGTGGAGACAAAGTAAATTATGGTCTGCTACACCACTACAATAGTCATTACGACACTGCCTACATCTGGATAAAATTTTAAAGCCAACACAATTTCTTGGAAAGAGAAAAGAGTTTCTCAAAGAAACTAAGAAATATTTACTCTTGAAACGTCTTTCACAAAATAAAACTTAAAATGCTGAAAACATCCTTCCAATGTTAGTTCTGGCATGAGCTGCTCATAATGTCAGAAGGACCCCATGGTCTTCTGCTGCCAACCATGCTGTGACTCTCTGGATCAGTGGTTTTCAGCCTGTAGGTCATGACCCACTTTGGGGATCAAATGGCCCTTTCACGGGTTGCATATCAGATATTTACATTACGATTCATAACAGTGTCAAAATTACAGTTATGAAATAGCAACAAAAATGATTTTATGGTTGAGGAACACCACAACATGAGGAGCTGTATTAAAGGGTCGCAGCCTTAGGAAGTCTGAGAAGCTTCTAAATACCTCTGACTTTTTCATGTCTTTTATTCATTTATAAAAATTATGGCACTGAACCAAATGAACCTGTGTCCTTACTCAGCTTCAATATTTTAGAATTTAATATTTTGTTTAAACCTACAACAGTAAAATCATTTTGATCTACTCTCTTCTTTGTTTTACTCATTTAGTAGATTAAAACTGAGACTCCTGAAGTTACATAGCCAGCTAAAAGATAAGAGTGTTGAAACTAAACCCAAGTCTTCTTAAAAACTGACACATATTTATGCACCATATTGTACTTATCCACCACAGGCATATGACTTCTTGTGTCCTTCAGATAAGGCGTGTTATGTGGCTCTGGCCAATACAACAGCAGTGAGAAAGCAAGCCAGGAAAAAGATCCTTTTTTATGTCTTAAGAATAAACAGTCCTTGGTAGCCTATGTTTGATTGGCTTTCATAAAGGTAAACGAGCTCTAGGGCAACAAAGTAAAATCAATTCTTAGATTACTCAATAGGGACTTTTTTAAAAGTATAATCTCTCATCATGGCTTGGAATTTGGTGACTGATTAAAAATGTCCTCCTACCTTATTGTCTGCAATACTAGGAGTGAAGGTTACACACCTGGCCAAGTTGTTTCGTCTTAATACAGCCTACCTTGATGTGCTAGAAAGTGTCCCCATAACTGTTATAGCACAAAGAGGTAGGAGGTGTCCCTGTGACTATGCTATAGCACATCTACCTATCAAGTCCACTGTACAAGTGTCACTTGGAACAAAGCAGTAACATTGAAACATTAACAATTTCAAGTCAAACACCAGAACGCAATGTGTGAATGTTAGGTCAATCCCCTGCCACTGATACCAAATGCATGGATTTATTTTAAAAAGTTTCAAAGAAATCATAAGTGACCTGGTTTAAGCTTTAGTGTGTTCATTGGGTCTACTCTGATCCAGATGTATTTTTCAGCCTCTATTCTGACATGCCAAAGGATGAGAAACTCCTTTCCAATGCAGCCTATTCCATCTTCTGCCAGTTTTGTCTCCCAGGAAATTCTTTCTCGTGTTCACCCCCTAACTCCCTGGTACACCCAGTAACAATGCAAAACAGCCTGGTCTCCCACACAGAGCTCATTCTAAGACCTGAAGACAGCATGCTTCTTCTAACAGTGCAAGACAGCTATCAGGAACACACCATGTCTCTCTCCCTCAGATAAGCACTCTCAGTTCCTTCCCACAAAACAGCTTTCTAGTCTCCATCCCATTCTAGTTTTCTCTGAACTTGTCCTATGTGTTTGCCAGCATGACATCTACAACTAAATGGCTCAGTGTGGCTGATCTTAGAAAACAGAGCGAGTAAGGACTCAAGCATCCCAATAGGCACCATATTAGCAATACTTTCTAATAAAACCTGAGTCTGCACCACTCTCATATTTTAGTAATTTCATATTATACTATCATGTTCATTAATATCTGCTTACCTATCTATATTTATTCTGCTATGTTCAATAATGTGACTGGCTTTGTCTACCCATCCACCATCCCCATGGTTGGTTGATAGCCCCAAATTAGACACTGGACACAGAAGAACCAACCTCTAGGCAGCAATAAACCAACTAGTTCTGAAAGTATAGAAGAGTTAGGCAGTCGGGTTTTCTTAGCAACTCTACGGGTGAAGCATACTGTTTATAGTATAGAATTAGCCCATTATTGGGCTGAAACACACACAGAGAAGCTAAGCAAGACACTATGGCTCCAAGAGAGATAAGTCTTTGTCCTATACCTGATGGCCTTCCAGTTCCTCACTTAAGTTCCTCTTGACAGCTGAATATCCTACTTTCATTTAAGGATCTTTGCCCAAACTTTTTACACTTTCTTTCCCTTACGCTACTTATCCCTTGAAACCAGGATTTTCCATTTTCTTCTGTGAGCACTTGGCTTTCAGATGCAAGCACAGAACTACAAATGCCAAATGTAAGTCTATATCCTATATCAACCACACTCAAATATTTGCATAAAACAGCATGTCACACACATGTATGTTATATATGTGTGTGTGTGTGTGTACATATAAAATATATGTTCAATATGTGTTGAGGCTGGAACTTTACATACCACATCACCATAGTTAGTACTAGTCCCACATAATACTGTTCCCTTATACATCATTATGAAACTATTAATTACTTCTGCAAAGAGCTTAAAGTTATTCATACCTACTTTAATAATAGTAAGACAAACTTTATCAGGTGTCTCCATAAAATTCATGTATTCTATGCCTAATATAGCTCTTAGAGCTAGTGACTACAGACTCAAAACTGAAATGAGGGCTGGAGAGACAGCTCAGAAGTTAAGAGTACTTGTTGCTCTTGCAAGAACCTGGATTCAGTTCCAAGCATCTAAATAGTGGCTCACAACCATCTGTATCTCTACTCTAGATCCAGGAGATCCAATGCTCTCTTCTCACCTCTATGGGAATCAGGAACAAATACAGTACATATTAATATATATAGGCAAAATACTCATATGCATATAATTTATAACTTTAAAAAAGGAAATAGAAATAGGCAAGATAGTGCAACAGGTAAAATGTTTACTGCCAAGCCTCACAGACTGAAGCCAATTCCTGGGATCCACATGATGAAGGCAAGAACCAGCTCCTGTAAGTTGTTCTCTGACATCTGTACATGTGTGGCACACACAAATACATATAAAGTAAGTATAATAAAGAAAAAATTTTAATGAACTAGCAAGGCTCATATGCTATCTCTCAATGAATGTAAAATCGATCCAAGGGGCACAATCTTCATTAATGTACCCTTAGTCGGTAATGGTAGTGAGGCCTTTAATCCCAACACTCAGGAGGCACAAGTGGTGGATCTCCATGAGTTCAAGCCATCCTGGTCTGCAGAGTGAGTTCCCAGGTTAGCCAGGGTTAGCCACTGTGACCCCATCTCGAAAACACTGACTCTTGTAAGCCATACTTTAATAATGTACTCTAAAGTCTTGCCTGCAGTTAAAATAAGCTCTCTTGTCATTCAAAGGCATTTCATACATGGAACAACACTGCATGTTAACTTCTCTAGCAGTCTTCAAAGACAAGTGACTCAGCAATCCCATTCAGAATGTTATCAGCCCTTGGGAAGCTCACCTACCCAGGTCGAGAGAGCTGAGCTCATTCAGAACGGGTGGGCATTTCCTTAAAGTTCTTTCGCTCATCTTCAGTTTTTATTCCTTCTCATTAATTAGAGCATTCTATTGCTTACTCTAAGGCATTTTATTCCTAAACTTTGTCCATTTGTCACAGTCTTTTTCCTACTCCTGGAAAATGCCCTAACTTTATTCTTAAGGAAATTCGTGAAAGTTAAAGTAGATTCGCAGCTGGATGTATAAAACAGAAATCATATAAACTTGACATTGTGAAAGGCATTAAAATGGATAGCATTCATCATAAAAAAAATCAAGGGATGAAAAGCTAAAATAAGTAAAGTAATGAATTTTAGAGATTTGCTAAATGTTCATCAAAGAAAAACACGACAGTCATTGTGGTCTGGAAACAAAATAATAATAGGCCCAAGAGAATGGTCTCCAGACTTGGCCAAACACAACCTGGATCCCTGAATTATCTATTAAATTAAATAAATAAGTGGCCCACAGACTTCCACTGCTGATCAATTATAGTTTTCTATAAGCAAAACTGCAACAGAAGGGATATAACCTTTTTGAATTCTTACTGTCTTATGAACTCATTGCTTGGGACACTTTCCTGAAGCTTGAGAAGTTATGAGATACTGTAATTATGAATACAAATGAAGCAAGTAAAAGTTATTTGTTGCGAATTACAATTTGTGCTTCCTTCTTCTAACTCAGTGTTCTGTCATCTTATTTTCACAGTAAAATAACAGCTGTCATCTCTGACAAGCCAGCCATCATTAACAGGAAGTTTCTGCCTGTTCTGCCAGAGGAAGCACTAACAGGTAACACTGTTCAAATGGAAACCACTTAAAAATAAATCCTAAACAAACTTCTTCAATGCAGTGTTTGTGCTCTTAAAATTATAGTTAATATAAAAATCATAATGTTTAAAAAGTAAGTTAAGCTTAAAAAAACCTTCATGAGTGTTCCTGACCACACTTAACTACAAGAAGCACCTAACAGCCTCCTGCTGCCCAGCTGAGGCATTTCCTGCTCCAAAGCTTGGTCTTTTTCTTTTTCCTTTCTGTTATATCTACCACAGATTTACTGTCCCTTGTATAAGAGAAAAAAACAAACTTTAGAGAAAGGCAAGAGTGATAACAGCATAAAATGTTAACATTTTCCATATACTTTTCATGTTTAAATGCCTTTCCAGGTGCCTGTTGCAGAGCCTGAAGACCTGACTTTGATTCCCAGGACCCACATGGTTGAAGGAGAGAACCAAGTCCTGAAAGCTCTTCTCCGACTTCCATATA